GGCAGAGGCAAACGGATCTCTGTGAGTTTGAGGCCAGCATGGTCTACAAAGCTACACACAGAAACCCTGTCTCAAAAACCAAAAAAAAAAAAAAAAAAAAAAAAAAAAAAAAAAAAGAAAAGAAAAACAGCTGTGGTGAGAATTGAATGGGACAACAAATTAAGTAGGGAGCTTCATTCACAGTGAAAAGGAGAAAAGGGTGGGAGAAATGGGCTTCCAGCCTGGAAGGGGAAACGTGGGAGCCGCACAGTGTCCTCTGAGGAAGCCAGTACTAAGAGGCGCCCTCCCTCCCCCAGGAACCAAGGAGCCACAGTTCCACCAGAGAAGTAGCTCAAGCTACTTCCTGAAGCAGGAGACATGGTAGGTACACAGCTTCCCCAAGGTAGGGTGAGATCCATGGTGGAGGCAGTTTTGATACTCTGCTCATAGTTCATGGAACACTTGATAGCATCCGCTTGTCTCCCAATACAAGTACTAGCCATAGCTAGTGGTGGCGCATGCCTTTAATCCCAGCACTTGAGAAGCAGAGACAGGTAGATCTCTGAGTTCGAGGCCAGCCTGGTCTACCGAGTGAGTTCCAGGACAGGCTACAAAGAAACCCTGTCTCGAAAATACAAAAACAAAACAACAACAAAAGCCCAACAAGTACTCTCCACAAGGGCCCCACCTATGTAGAACAGAAGCAATGATAGAACTGAAGCAGGTTATATGACCTCTGGGTACTTAGCCCCTCATCCAAATCCATGACCAGGAAACACCATCACTTGGGCTCTGCTGCCACACTGAGGGGACAGGGAGAACTGCAGCAATGAATGTTCCAGCAGCCACAGATTGGGGTCCTCATATTTCTAGTTGCTTGCAGTGCAGTGGATTTCCTACCGATTTTGATCGTCTTCACAACAGTCCATGGAATCCTAAGTCAGACCACGTTCATCAAGGGCCCCCAAATGGGAACCCTGCAGGATCTGGAAGTAGTTGCAAAATTGAACTGGCAGATCATGTTTTAGAGATGTAGCTCAATGACAGCACGCTTGCCTAGTAGCACCTATCAAGTTCTTGGTTCAATTCCTAGCAGGAATGAATTAGTAAATCTTTAAAAAAAATTAAATTAGGGGGCTGGAGAGATGTCTGAGATATTAAGAGCACTTAACTTGCTCTTTCAGAGGTCCTGAGTTCAATTCCCAGCAACCACATGGTGGCTCACAACCATCTATAATGTGATCTGGGGCCCTTTGCTGACACGCAGAGAGAACAGTATATACATAATAAATTTTTTAAAAAATTAAATTATATTAAAAACTAAGATACTAATATTCAAAAATAGTGATTTTCTATCCACATTTATTACTTTCTCTGAAATCCATGATCCCCCTGCTTCAATTTTCAGAGTGTTGGGCTAATAGGTGTGTACTGGCTGCACTTAGTGTTGTCCAGGATCTATTTGTTTTGTCTGTGTATGGTGCTGGGGATTGAAGACATGCTAGGTAGGCAATCTATCCGATCCTCTGTAATACCCAGCAAACAAATAACTCAAGGGCCTGATTAAAACCTGAAACCAGGGGATCTACCCACCTCTTCTGGCCTCCTCAGGCACCTCCACTCAAGTGCATAAGCCCATGTTAGACATATGAAACTAAAAACTTCTTTATAAAAAGAACTCAAACAAAACAGGTGAGATTAATTTAAATAATGTATTTTATTTAACTCAGTATGTCCAAAATAGTATTTCAACATGTAATCAATATAAAGTTATCAATTATATATTTTACATTCTTTTTCATACTAACTTCAAATTCTGGTGTGTATAAAGCATATCTCAATTGAAACTAGCCACATTTCAAGTGCTCAAAAGGCAGAGTCCAGTGGTTCCAGATTGGACAGCATGGGTCTTCTAATCCTAAGAAAGCAATGAGCTGCTGGGGGCATAGCTAACACTTATAAGGCCTAGAACTCACAAGGCCCTAGGTTTGATGCCCAGCACTAAAGAAAAAAATACAAGCAAGCAATGGAGTAAATATTATGATCCAGATTTAAATTTTTAAGACAGTGCTGAGGCTGAGAAATTTCAATCCAATTAATACAATTTCTTTGAGGAACCAGTAAGTCATAGATTTTGTAACAATTTTTGAATAGCAGTGTGGTAAGCTAGCTGCACAGTGGCCCCCAAGGCTCTCGGGTTCTACCCTCTGGAAGTCATACACTTACTTTTATAAGGAGTCGGGGTTAGGGTGTGGATCAGTGGTAGAGTCCTTGCCTAGCACTGGAGAGGCACTGGGTTCTATCCCTGGCACTGCCACAAAGAAAGTGGGGCTATGTAGCTGTGGGCTATGTGGGTGTTCCCATATCTAATTACGAATGCCCAATCAAGGACAGAAAAAGTTGGGTGCAGTGGCAGGATTGCCAGTTCAAGGCTAGACTGGGCTACAGTGAGACCCTGTGTACACGTACATCCGTACACACACACACACACACACACACACACACACACACACTGGGGGAGAGGGCAGAGAGGCACTGAGAAGGATGTAGCATACAAAAGAGGTTATGTGACTATGGATCTAGAGTACCTGCATCTTGACTGGTTAGAACTACCCCAAGCTGCAAGAAGTAATCGAGAACAGGCTTCCCACCAGAGAAAGCCTCAGAGGGAGCATGAACCAGTTATGTTTTTATTGTTTTGAAACAGGGTCTCACTATGTAGCCTCAGCTGCTCTCCAGCTTCCTGTGTAGACCAGGCTAGTCTCAAACTTGCAATATTCCTCCTATGGCTTCTGCTGGGATTACAGACAAATACCATGCTTGGCCACTTTGCTTTCTGAGAACATGGTCTTGCTTTTTAGCCCAGGCTGGCACTGAACTTTTTGATCCTTTTGCCTCAGCCTCTGCTGGAATTATAAGCATGCAACACCACACCCAGCTAATTCTGTTGCCTTAAACTCTCATGTTTGAAGTAATGTTTTGGAAGCCATACAAAACTAAGACAAACTGATAAAATGCATCTCCCTCACATGGTATTTGAATTACAACCACAGGCAGATGATGTATTCCACACTTCAACAAAATGCCAGTCAAAAGTGTTCCATGGGCAACAACTAGCTATAGATTTACAAGCACACTGTACATGTTATTTACACTTACAGTTAATGGGCTCTACTGCTGTCCTATCTATACATCATAGAATACCTTATATGCACATAAGCATGTCATATACAGGTCTTTTTCCTACAGAGCCTGGCCTATAGGATACTTTATTTTTCTGAACTCTCTAGACCTGTTTCTTTCTCCACACAACACGGCTAGAAGAATTGGATGAGCTCCTGGGTGGGTAGGGCAGTACCAACTGCTGTTGGAGCAACTACTACCTAACAGGAGGGCTGAGTCAAGCAGGAGCTGATGGAGCAAAGCTGAACAGCCAACCTGAACAGCCCAGTGCCATGGCTGAAACAGGCAAGATTCAGGGAGTCAGGTGTAGGATTCTGAGAAACCTGCTTAAGGCTATTACTTCATGTGGATGGGGGCACTATTCAAGAGGAGACTGAAACCTAGGAGATCACTGGGTCAAGAGTTTCTCACATCCCTTGTTCCTCAGTCCCCATCCATTTGCCCCTAGGGCAAGGTGCCCAAGCATGGAGTGAGTTCACCACATCTGCAACATCATGGTTAGGATGACATTTGGTGCTTTCCTCTCAGTTCCATTGTCATCCGAGTGCATTGCACAGATCATACAGAGGCCCTGGCCCTTCTTGGCCTAGCACTGTTTTTCAAAATGTACTGGTTAGTCATTCTATAAGCAATGAAATAATTTGACCAAGATTCCACAGTGGCAATTTGACCAAACTGGCTCAGATCACTGGAGCAGAGCTGGGTAAACAGAAATGGTTGGCAACGCCCTGGGATCCACATCATTAGGAATCCCAATAGACTAAAATCCACTGAGGCCCAGCCTCAGCCTATCCCTATCTGCTTTGTCTACCAAGGTTCCAGCCAGGGAGCTCAAGAACCTGGCTACTGAGTACAAGAATCGCCATGTCCTCTACCAGAGCTCCCCTCTCCCTACCCCAGCTCCACTTGTGGCATTTGCACTGGCCTGCAGCTTCTCTTAACATGCCAGGAAGAGAGTGTAGTTTCGAGAATTCAACAAGGTATGTCCTTGGTCTCAATAGTTTATGAAGGCCAACCTCCTTGAAGGGGAGAGAGCAGTGGGCAAGGGCAAGGGCAAGTCCACCTGCAGCCATAAATCAAGAGGTCCAGTGTCAGTGGCCACTGTCTTCAGAGCACTGGTAGGCAATAAATTCAATTTTTCCAAATCCAGTTGGTAAGTTTAAGAAAATAAATTAAGGGACAAACCAAGGTCAGGCTTTCTCTTACCATAGCATCAGACAATTGTTTCAAAATATATTAGATTTGTTTTTTATTGTAGAGCACACACATATTAGGGCAAAGTGCTGCACACACAACTACAAATCATTTTTTGGGGGGGGGGAGAGCAGTAAAAAAACAAAAAAACAAAACAAAACCAAAAAAAAAAAA